TGTTTATCTCCTGAGACTCATGAGCTTCCTTGCAGGATGGAATGCTTCACCTCCCTTAAGAACATTCTGTGTCTTAATAAGCTTCACTCTAAGAATGTTTTATGTGGGAAGAAGCTACACAACAACTCCTCATAACAAACACATTATGACTAACCACCATCTCTGCATGAACTCATAATTACATATATTATCTATGTGGACTTATTCAATGTAGATCCCCCATCTCCTTACAAATACAACTCACGTATTTTAGTGCCCATCAGTCTGTGTCCACTCACACCCACCCATGAATGTGAATCTGAGCCTGCTTCCTCCATCATAGGAAAGTCTGCTCATTGCATCTGACTGCACTTCAAGAATGCAGAGGCCAAACTTGGTGACCTCAGATGAATACATCAGAAAGATCCAGGCAGCAGCTCAGCCAGAGAGCCCATTTCCTTAGAGGAGCCCTAATCTATCATTGTCTCCTCTTTTGTCTTTTGACTTCTGACTCAGTGAACTTCGGATCCCTTTCATCTCTGCCAGTAAAAGTGATTAAATATGTTGTGCTGAGAGAAGTGGGTGACAGAGAGGACCATGAAAACTATTTCTTTGTTATCATTGAGCCAAAGAAATCTCCACATGCTTTCCCATAAGTTGGGCTTGGGTGCATCAGGCAGAAGGAATGTATCAAGAGTATTTGCTTCTTTTCTAAGTAGCTAAATCTTTGGAAAACACACAAGGTGGAGGACTAGGGCTGTTTGCTGGTGTTATTAAGGAAGGGGCTGAGAGGCATTGGCCTTGGGACCTACAGTCACAAATGAACTGGGACAGTCTGGCCTATTTATTGATGGGCCCACTGGCCTGATTCTTCCTGATGTAATTCAGAACCCACACGTGGTTGGAATGAGGGGCTCTGATTTTACCAAGAGCTTTCTCTGCCTTAGAGCTGCAGGTACTTACTAGATTGATTGGAGGCTTTATTAAAGTTTTATAAAAGATATCGCCTGAGAACCCTGAGGGCAGAGCCGTTCTGACCAGGCCCTGACTCAGCAGCTTATGGTCCCGGGTAGGAGGGGTTCATCTTACATTTCAGAATTATCCAAGGGGCCTGGCATCAGCATCTAGTCCCATCTGGTCCATTCGTTGCTTTGGCTGGGTGACTGGATGTGTCGCTTTTCTGCTGTTGTCGTAAAATACCCAAGATAAGTTAGAGGAATACTGTTGAGGCTCACAGTTACAGAGATTCTGGTGCTCAGTCATTGATCCTCCTGCCTTGGGCCTGTGCCAAAGCAGAACATTGTAGTGTATGGAGTTACTCACCCTCATGGCATTCTGGGAAACAAAGTTTGATCGAAGGGTCTGTGATTCTACTCAAGGGCACTCCCCCCCCCAGTAAGCTAACTGCCTTCCACCAGGCCCTTCCTCCTGAAAGTTCTATCAATTCCTAGGCACATGAAAGTCTGGAAACCAAGCATTCAACGAGTGGTTACAGGAGAACATTTAAGATCCAAACTGTAACAGTAGAATGGGGCTGTAGTTGGCACACCTTAGCAAGATGTGATTGGTGGAAGAGAGCTTGGCTCTGAGGCTTATGTCACAGAGTGGCTGAGTGGCCTTGGACATTCCTAAACCTCTGATCCACAGGCATATGAACTGAGAACACAAATGCTTATTCTAAATGGTTTTAAGTTCTTTGTCATCTTGGGCTGTTGCCATAATGAAGGTAAAAGGGAAGATCTAGGTACACCAAGAAGAGGGGTTTATAGTCTCAGGGGCCCATGTCCCAAGGACAGGAGAAAAAACTGGAATTGGGGGGCAAGTCCAGGCTCAGCGTGATAGGTAATAGCTGCAAATGGTACAGGATCTATCTAAGGGATAGACTTCTGTGCATGTCTGTGAGGAAGTTCCTAGACACATTTGTTGAGGTGGGAAGATACACTCTAACTGCGCAACACTATTCCATGAGCTGGGTCTCTGACTGTGTGAAAAGGAGAAGAAAGTGAGTTGAGCACTCACTCTGCTCCCTCACTGCCAACACCACAATAGGACTAGCCTCTTGGCATTCCTGCCTTCCCCACCAGCTGTGCCCACAGATAGTAGCTGAAATTAACCCTTCCTTCCTCAAAATGCTTTTGTCATACATTTTGTCACAGCAATGAGACAAGTGATGAGTCCACCCAGGCTTCATTGGTTCAGCTGTTTATGGACAGCTAGATAAAGCGATTCCTTTGAGGATAAAAACTATTATTAAATACCGAGAGTGGAGAGGATTGGGGTGTCACAGTTCCTACCCTTAATAGGACCGACTTTGGGAGAGAAGTCAGTTCCTAAACAGGGTTTCCAGTGGTATGCTCCAGGCAGGCAGGCAGGCAGGCAGACAGGAAGCATGGTGGTCATGGTGATTCACAAGGCAACACACAGCCACTTTGTCCAGTCCCTCCTCCTGGGGAAGTTGGGACCAGCAACAAGTAGCCTTTATTGTCTTTTGTAAACCCTAGGAAAATTAAGTATAGTACTTCATTGAATATGCATACCACTCAATGAATAGATACTATTGGCTCCATTATCATCTGTACTTTATTGCCTGAAGGGAATTTTGAAACAGGGATGGATAAATCTGGTTGCTACATCTGGAAAGTCCAACGGTAGAGCTAGCTAATGTCTCAGACAATTCCACCAGGGTTGCTTCTTGCTTGTCTGCTTTCCCTCTGCTACCATTGCCCACCCTCCCCACCCCAGCCCTTCTAAAGAATGCCCCACCCCTTGCTAATACCATTAGTGTGTCTCTCTAACCTGCAGCCAGGACCCACTTGGGTTGCACAGAGCCTGTTGAAGGCCCATTTGCTCAACACATAATGGGGATTAGAATTCATTAATGCACTACAAATTAAAGTATTAATAACGGCTGCAGAGTTTAAATGAGAGCCAAGGAAGGGAACCGGGTGAGTGGTTGCCCCTCCTGTGTCCCCCACCTAGCTGCATTGTTCTGGCAGGGGCAATCCTGCGCTCTTTAATATGCTGTGACAGCCGCCGAAGTGACCCCAGACAATAAACAGTGCCTCCTAGTTAAGTATTAATCTGCCAAAAGAATGACCTTCATCCACTAAAGAAGGGATGTTTTTAAAAACCTCGCAAGTGGAGGAAGGCTCATTTGCTCGCTCATTTAGCATATTAAAAGGGTATTATTGCTACAAACAAGAAATCTAAATGAGGCCCGGGCAGGAGCTGCGGATAACACTCCTGATTAAAGGTGCAGGGTAATGATGAACACGGAAGGCTGAATCTGTTATTGTTCTCCAACATGGCAGGACCTGGCTGCTGGGATGATAAGAGAATCGAGTCTGGACCAGCCTTTGTCAGACAAGAGTGAAGTGTGCCTTGCTGCTGGATGCTGCCTACCTCTACCAGAGGACAGCAGGTTGGAGGAGGGCTGTCAAGGCCACCCTAGAAGAAAGGAGCCCAGAGAGATGGTGTCAAAGAGTTCCCTACAGTGACAATTTCTTATTGTCATCCTTTGACTTGTTTACTTTCAGCTTCTTGAGCCCCTGCTGGGCCACTCTGTGGACAGCACCTTTCCCCCCCACTCCTAGAGCCCAGGCAGCTCTCCAGGGGCTCAGCTCCCTCAGTTCTGGAAGGAAGCATCTGACAGGGAGAAAAGGAGAAAAGAAGGGCTTGTCTAGTTGTCTCTTCTACCCAGGAGAATGCTGAGTCCTTCCAAATCACTGGAGGGAAGGAGTTGAGAAGCCAGGAGTCTACCTCAAGATGAAGGGTGCATTGGCAGAGCCAAGGATGAAGAGAAGACAGGAACATAACTAAATGAAGAAAACAAACAAAAAAATACCAACGCTGGGCTGGAGAGATGGCTCAGTATACATTCAGTTCCTAGCACCCCCATGGTTGCTTATAACTCGAGTTCTAGGGGGTCTTACTCCGTCTTCTGACCTGCATGGGCAGCAGGCACATATGTGGTGCACATACATACAAACACACATGCAGGCAAAGCACTCATCCACATACAATTAAGCTCTTTAAAAATGTGAAAAAAGATATAAGCATAAGACTCAAATTCAACAACTATCCATGGGAAAAAGAATAATGTATCAATTAGTGGGCTGACAGGTGACTGAGGCAGGAGCAGAGTCTGCCCTGGGCAAGGATGAGTCACCCGAAACCAACAAGCAGAGCAAGTTTTAAGGACACAGAATCTTGAGAATATAAATAAATGACTGACAGCAGGAAAGAGGGCAATTTTTTTCTTTCTTTTTTAAAATTGAAATTAGAAACAAGCTTCTTTTACATGTCAATCCCAGTTCCCTCTCCTTCCCCTCCTCTCCTGCTCCCCCAAACCGACCCCCTATCCCACCCCCTTTCTGCTCCCCAGGGAGGGTGAGGCATTCCATGGGGGATCTTCAAAGTCTGTCATCATTTGGAGCAGGGCCTAGATCCTCTCCCATGTGTCTAGCCCTCTATGTGGAGAGGGCTCCCAAAGTTCATTCATGTACTAGGGGTAAATACTGATCCACTACCAGTGGCCCCCTAGGTTGTCTAGACCTCAAAACACCCACATTCATGGGATCATTCATGTACTAGGGGTAAATACTGATCCACTACCAGTGGCCCCCTAGATTGTCTAGACCTCAAAACTGACACAAAACATTCATGGGGTCTAGATCAGTCCTATGCTGGTTTCCCAGCTATCAGTCTGTAGTCCAGGAGCCCCCCACCTTGTTCAGGTCAGCTGTTTCTGTGAGTTTCTCCAGCCTGGTCTTGACCCCTTTGCTCATCACTGCTCTCTCTCTCTCTGCAACTGGATTTCAGGAGTTCAGTTCAGTGTTTAGCTGTGAGTGTCTGCTTCTGCTTCCATCAGCTGCTGGATGAAGGCTCTAGGATGGCATATAATGTAGTCATCCATCTCATTATCAGGGACGGGCATTTAAGTTAGCCTCTCCACTATTGCTTAAGTTGTTAGTTGGGGGTGTCATCCTTGCAGATCTCTGGACTTTACCTAGTGCCAGATTTCTCTTTAAACCTATAATGGCTCCTTCTCTTATACTCTTTTCTTGCTCTCCTCTATTCTTCCCCTGAGTCAATCTTCCTGCTCCCTCATGCCCTCTTCTCCCCTCCTCTTCTCCCCTTCTGAAAGAGGGAAAATTTTGAGAATTAAAAGGGGAGTTACATTGTTCTAAATATTACATTGTACTATTTGGGAAGTCACTTCTGTGCTATGTAATCCTTGAGGACAGTGACCCTGTCTTGTTCAACTCACATTCTTATCACCTAGAACAGTTCCTAGCAGGCGATGGCAGAATTGAGATCATTTGTTCTCTTTGCTGAGGGTCCTCTTCTAATGTTCAGACATGGGGATATTTCCCAGCCTTCCTTGGAGCCAAATTGTAAGCAGATGACTAATGTTTGACAGACAGGACATGGATAGAAGCGATGTGTCACCCCTGGCCCAAGGCACAGCAGATACAGTGCTCCTCACCCATCTCTTTCTTCCCTTGCTTTGGCAGGTGGGTGATGAAAGAGGGTCATCACAGGATGGAGGTTGGACTCCCTGTGTCATGGGCGGGTGAACCCCACTAGCTTATATGAACACTTTCAGGCTTCTGCTGTGTTCAACCACTGGGCTTTAGAGGCTTACATATGGAGGTAGTAAGTGTTGTCCTAATTAGTAAATGTGGTACTTGACAAATACTTTTGGAATCAATAAATGTATGTTCTCCTTTAATCTTCACAGTAGCTAAAGCTAGCTATTTCCACTTGTCAAAGAAGGAAATTCATAGGTAAAAGCGATATAAGCAAAAATTGAATTCATGCCTTCAAATTCCAGCCCCCTTTTCACTATACCCAGCTGTCTTTCAAGAATGTAGTATGATATATATTTTATGTGAAAATTTTACCAAAAAGTACCATTGTAATAGAGGTTCAGGGTTTTCCAAATGACAGTCCCTTGGCTGATGAGACAAGGCTGTCATCTTGGATACAGTCAAATCCTCCTGAATTCAAACTCACCAAAGAGGGAGTTTTCTGTCCTTGGAGTGTGGGGAGGGGGGTCACCCCTGAATTTCCTAGCTTCCTGAAACAGAAAGTCGGTCAAGGTCAATGTCCTCTAGGAGGTGCTGCTGCCCTAGGAAGTGCTTGCATCTTACCTTCAGAAAGATTCCTCAACCTCCCTGCAATGTCCCCTGCCCCCAAGCTGTGGATCCTGGCCCACTGGAACTGGTGCAACAAAGAGAAGTCGTGAACTAATAAATGGACACCCCAACCTACTTAGCCATCACCCCAGAGAAGGCAGAGGATGGCTTGAGGAGGAGGAATTGCCTCCACTCTAAGCCAAGAAGAATAGGTTGAGTAGGATCAAAGGACCAGAAATAAATTTAACCTCCGAGAGAAAAATGGTAAAGAAGCAACCACTGGATGCACAAGCCATAGGGAAATGCAAGCCTGGGAAAGCTCTTTTGGCTGAGAAATTGCTCAATCTACTTACCCTTTTCTACTGTTTTTACTTATAAGGAAGTTGTCCATGGTCTGTCAGCAAATAGCGAGCATGAAGCACTTGTAAGTCATCATCTGCCCAGCCTGCCTTAGGGAGCTAACTTCCTTTCCTAGGATAGGAAGACTGCATAGTCTCCCCACCCCCTGGCCTGTGGGCCCTGTCCCCTTGTCCTTCCACAGTCTCATGGGTGACAGCTCACTCACAAATATTGTTTGGAATCCCGGCTCAGCCTGGTTGCTACCTGTCTTCTCTACCCCCCTCGTCAGTTACACCAATTCACCAACTGGGCTGCTAGCCTCTGCCTGTGCCTTTCTTTCAACAGCCCTCAAGTTTTCTGAGGGGAAAAAAAAAAAGCCTGTGATGTTTGTGTCCATTGCACCAGTGTAAACCTAAGGCACAGTACAGTGGTACATTGCTTAATTATGAAAAATGAGACATTGTATGACTTCTTCTTTGTACAAATAACAGATAAATAATATTTATAAAATTAAGATGTTACTAGATGATACAATTTTATGGGATGACCTGCATAAATGTGGCCCATTTTGTTGATCAAAATTTTATATAGTGCATGATCATGTTACTAAGTAAATTTATTGAAATCACATAACATTCATGTCATCTTCTAGTTTCTGGAGACTTTTAACCTGTTCAGATATTTTACCTGGAGTGCTACCATAAGCTAGTATACCCAGGTATTATGTCTATCTCTTCCCATGAAAAATCACAACCCTGTGGGACAGGCTTTAGCAATCCAACTTCATTTGAAGAGACTGTGTCCAGAGAAGTCAGGCACCATCTGAGGTGTCCAGCAGGTAAATTCAGAATTGGGTGGAGCTCTGACCTGTCTAATGTGTAGCCTAGGTTTCTCCACAGACAACACTTTAATTTAGCTGAATCAGCATGTCCTATTTACAAGACCCCGTGGTTTGAGATTGTCAGCACTATCTGTGGTCTTGGTGAAAAGATTCTCTTATTTTCTGGGATGACATAAATTCACAAACAGCCTAGAGTGGGCTTGACAGCCTCATCACTCAGTGACATCTGTCTCTGCATATGGTTCCAGCTCTACTAGCAGGTAAGCCGCAGTGTCTCTGCTCAGTCGGCCTCTGGCTACCATGGCAGGCTTCTCTTGGGTTCTATGTCCATTCTCCTCATGAACTCTATTGGGTTTTACATAATTATGGCAAAAATAAGATCCACCTGCAATAAACACTTGTCTGCAACAAAACTTGTCTGTCGCCATCCCCAGGGATCAAATAGATCTTAACTGTATGAACTCCCAGCTTTGGCTCTGCCTATCAAGCTTTTATACGATTTACTGTACCTTGATTTATCTGCTCCCACTGATCTCATTAATTGATCTATATTCTTAGTCTCTTTTAAAAAATGAAACAACATCCCACGTTAAATTTGGAGTCACTTAGAAACTATCTCTGCTCCTACTTTCTTTACACAACTTACTGTGTGGGATCTCAATGGCTAAGGGACACCTACTGTACATACATCATCTAAGAATAGAGGTCAGATGGAGAGGGGCAAAGTTTAGATAGGGAGGAGGAGAGGGTGGGATGGGATGAGCGAAGCAGTCTAGTGAAGCTAGAGAGAAGCAAAGGCTCCAGATGCTTTCCAAGCAGTGGGAACGAGGAGTGGAAGCCCCTGCCTGGCACTGGAGAGCTAGAGAAACAGCAAGAGGCTGCAACTGCAAAGAGAACAACACGCAGACTGGTGCCCTGTGTGCCCTGTGTTCTGGGTAGAGGATTCTACCTTCACCACCAGAAAGAAGAGAGACTGCCCTTGAGAATACCTTCAGCTTGGGCCTGGTGTGCCAGGGAGATGAGGGCCCAAGGGAGATGGAGGTGCTCTGGGTCCATCTGGACAAGCTCTGAAAAGCCAAGAGATTTTAAATACAGAGAGAGCCCCTGTGAAGGAAGAAGCTAGGGACTAGAAATGACACAATTGCAAATATCTGTATTTTTCTAACAGGCAGTACACTCCAGATGCTGGAAAGGAAACAGTCTGCACCGGTGCTGGGTCGCCCCAGCCTCGGAAATGAGACTCTGTGCCACAATTAACCTCTTGATGAGAGATTTCTCTCAGTTAAATTTTAGTTGACAGGTGGCAGAACCTGGACAACTTTGAAGCTTAACTGACAAGTGGAGAGGATGAGGGCAGGAATCCATCACCTCCTCTCACTTCATCTTCCTACCTCCTCTCCAGTCACTTCGACCCCGAGAACCCCTTTCCAGTGAATATCTTGAAACCCTCTATTCAGTTTGAATTGAGACCTCTCCTATCCTCCATCTGGGCACTCAGAGCTCACGATGCATGTTTTAAAACCAGCATAGGACATTGTGTGTAGAACTCCTGACTCCCTCACCAGACTGTGAGTTCCTCACGGTTGAGAGCTCCAGTTTGTGTGTATAGTTTGCCTCTATTAGGTTGCAGAGGTGTGACAAATACTTATGAATGAATGGTTACATCAGTAATCATGGGACAATGAATCAGGACCAGTGGTTATCCACCTTTGGCATGCTAATATGGAGGCTTAGGGTATAAAGACTCATTTAAAGAAATTAAATTACTTGAGATAACACTAAACCAGTCACCCCAAAGCTACTTTGCAACCACCACTGTAGTACACAAAACATCTTGCTGTCTCTATAAAAATGTGCAAAGCCATTGCACTGCTCACTGTGTGGAATTATTTGCCATTAAGACTGCTCTCCCACAGAGCTGGGGTGCAGCTCTGTGGCACAGCCCTGAGCACTGTCTAGCATTCCCAAGTCCCTGAGTTCAATCCTCAGCACCACAAACAACAGAAAAACAAGGGGCAGAGGTCTCACATATCCTAGGAACATGGGCGCCTTTGGAGGCAGCTTGACTTCACCCTGAACTTGTACAAGTTAGTCACAGGGCATCATGGCCACACTACAATGTGCAAGAAACCTGGGCTGCTCAACATTGCATCTGCCAGCCATCATATAAATATTGGAAGAGATATTGATAAAGCCCCCCTCAGGGAATAACCCCCCCTCCATTGCACTGGTTCTCACAGGAAACACAAGTATGAATGAGAGAAGTTGCCTTGTGGTGGAGCAAGCAGGACTCTTCCAAAATTCTGTGACAATGTCTCCCAGGCAAGAAGGGCAGCAACAACCCTGCTTGAATTCACCGAGGTGGAAAGAAAGAGACTTTTCTCTGGAAACCTTCCAGATCACTGGTGAAGAACAAAAGAAAGTTATAGGGCCACCGTGCCAATTCCCCACGAATAATCTCTCTCACAATCAGGGGGCAATTCTTGCAGGAAAGAGGTTGGTGTTGAGAGGTCTACATGCTTGCTTCATGTCCATGAGTGATGAAAAGGGTAGTGATGAGCTGCAAGGGTTCCAAGGAGAAAGAAGCATAGATTTGTGGATTTCAATCAGGTGACATCTGGGAGGCAAGAAGAAAGGGGATTTTTTTGTTTGTTTGTTTGTTTCAGTGAGACCACACAACACAGGGCAGAATTCCTAACACAGAAGCCATGAGTGTTTAAAGTCCTAGCCATGATGGCAAGATATGGGGCAAGCCCCTGCACACACCTCTGGGCACTGCTACCCGTTTGCATGCCAAGAGGATGAAACACATGACATCCAAGTGACTCCTGTAGAAGGTCCAGTTCAAGTCACTTACCTGGAGAGGGAGCTGTCACCGTGAACCCAGTCCATGAGTAGTCTGTAGCAGGCTCACTTAAGGGGATGTTTGGAAGGTGGAATCTAGGTCTAGGGAGACTGACCCATCAGCAGCATATTGCTGCGGTAGCATGAAGACTCGAGTTCCATGCACAGCCACTTGATAATTGAATTTTCATGTGGCTAGCTCCCCAGAACCCAGTGCACGCTGAAGCTTGGAACCTCATGCTTTTGGCTAAGGGGACACTTTTTTTTTTTTTTTTTTTTGAGTGGGAGAGATTAGGACTCTGATAAATGCTTAAAACCTATTAGTGGTTCTGGTAAGGTACTTAACCCCTCTGATTCCTAGATTTCCCCATGGGGAAAAAAAAGCCATCATCATCATCATCATCATCATCATCATCATCATTGTTGTCATCATCACCAGCACATTACCAACGCCAACACCACTGGCATTAAACATTATTGGACACATTAGGTGAAATGTTTTTTTGTGAAGTATTGAGTGTAGTGCCTGGCACATGGTAACAACTGGAATTATTATGTAGTAACTGTCACAGGCCTTTTGAGAAAATGAAATGAATCACATGCAATATGGGAGGCAACTGGTAACTGGCTTGGTGATAAGCCCAGAGCCCTCATGAGGGAAAACACTTCAATAATACCTTCCCCATTCGTTTTCATAAAGGAGAAATTACATCTCTTGCACTTTTCTCAACTGGAGAGGTGGATATTGTTCTTCAGTTTCTGGGAGTCAGTGAGTGCCTGCTCTAGAGATAGCTAGATTTAATCAGGCACCTAGACCTTGCTAACTCAGAAATGGATATGGTGCCCACCTTCCGGGGACATAGTGAAAAAGGACAATTCAGAACACACTTAAAGTGCTTTCTTCCATTTCTGACTGGTAAGTGCTTGTTTTTTGTTTTGTTTTTTCTTTTTTTCTGAGGCAGGGTTTCTCTGTGGCTTTGGAGGCTGTCCTGGAACTATGCTCTTGTAGATCCGGCTGCCTCTGCCTCACGAGTGCTGGGATTGGCAAGTGCTTGTTATAAAGTAACTTTTAGTGATGGGAAGGACATAGAGTATAGGGTTGAGTAATCAGGAAACACTGCATACGTTTGATCATTGCACTAAATGGTCAAATAAGCAAAACTAGAAAATAGAAAAGGAACTTGTTTTTGTTTTTGTGTTGGTTTTTTGGTTTTTTTGAGACAGGGTTTCTCTGTGTAGCTTTGGAGCCTATCCTGGAACTCGCTCTGGAGACCAGGCTGGCCTCGAACTCACAGAGATCCGCCTGCCTCTGCCTCCCGAGTGCTGGGATTAAAGGCGTGTGCCACCAACGCCCGGCTAAGGGACGTTTTTTTAAATGTAATAAGACTTCAAAGCAAACTGGCCTTTCCCAGTTTGCCATGTTCTCATACACTCAAGGGCATGAAGTCAGAGTCCCTGTTAAATGTCTCCAGCTGCCTGTGGATCTATGAGCCATGCAAATAAAACCTATGTCTTTCCTTCAAAGAGCTTGTTGGTATGAGGATGCATCATTTCGACTGTCAACCTGACACACGTGGAAAGGGAGTCTCAGTGACAGATTGTCAAGGTTGACCTGAGGACGTGTCTGTGAAGGATGTCTTGATTATGTTAGCTGATATGGGAAGACCCAGACCCAAAGTGGGTGGCACCATCTCTTGGACTGAACCCATGAAATAAACAGAAGAGGGTAAGCTTCTTGATGTGGGTGTCCATTCTCTCTGTGCTCTTGACTATGGATATGACTTGCTGCTCCAAGTTCCTGGTTGACTTGCCCTCAATGATGGACTCTAACCTGGGCTTGCAAGCCAAATAACAAACATACCCCTTTTCCCTTATCAGGATATTTTATCACAGTAGCAGGATATGAAATGGAGACAGTGCTTCGAGCAAGAAATCTCATTGAACATGGTGGCACATGCCTATAAACCCAACGTTACGGAGGTTGGGGTAGAAGGAACCTAGTTTGAGGCCAACCTGAGCAATATTGTGATACTTTTATCTAAAAGAAAAAAGAAAAATAAGAACTGTCATGAAATAGTTTATTGGATGTCTAATACCAAATTAGTAGCATGGTTATGCACTGGGACATATAGGGAAGAGATAATACAAGGCATTGCTCAGGTACCAGGGATAGTGATCCAAATAATAGATGGTGATCTTGCCTGGAAAGAGCTGAAACAGAACCAAGATGGACAGACAAATGCAGAATGCATACATTTGCCAAGTGTCCTGAGGGTGGAATAGGAGAGATACCTATCAAAGTCACCTGTGCCATCCAGGGCAGGGATACAGTTATCAAGACCACCACAGAGGGTATGGGTGTATACAATACTGTGACCTCCAGAAGATAGCTGTTAGGTGGCCAGGCAGACATGGAAGAACAGCTAGGCAAAGCCAAATGGGCCACTCACATTTCCCATTTCAGGGAACAGAAAGAGAAAGGACAATGGGTGTGAAGGACCCATCATAACCACGCACCTTTCCCAGAGTCCTCCCATTGTCCACTCCTGTCTCTGTGGCCACTGCTAACCCAAAGCTCTCACCTTGAACTTGATTCAATGTGCACAGTAGAGACGTTAACTAAGAAAGGTCTGGAGAAATTGGGAGTGGGAAGAGAGAGAAAGTTGTGAGAAATTGTAGGACAAGTGGAAAGAGAACCATCCGGTGGCTGTGGCTTCTGAAGTGCTTAGAAATGGTTCCAGGAGAGATCATCAACCCTACACCATTGTGCTTTTGTTGCCTTTCCTCATGTGTTGTACCTACAAACACTGCCTAAACATTTCTTAGAAATATATAGGAATTTTTTTTTATTATTCATGAAACCAGTCATTGTTTACTTACTCTGAGTATTTACTGGATCCCTCCTGTATTCCATGTAACATTCAGGTTCTGGGAACAAAAAAGTAAGCAAGGTAAATACAATGTCTTTCATGAAAAAAATCACCCAGCAGGTATGTTCTTTAAAATTTGTTTATTCTTTGACAATTTCACACATGTATACAGTGTATTTTGATCCTACCCACCTCTAACTCCACTCCTCCTACTTCTAAACCTTTCTTCTCCACATTTGCCCTATCAACTTCATGCCCCATTCTTAGTTTTATTTATTTAATTATTTTGCTTTGAAAAAAAAAAAAAAAACAATTCCCTGAGTCTTGGTGCTAACCATATGCACATGAGTGTAGGGTCCACTGGAAAATAGGCAACCTATTGGGCCATGCTCACTCCTGAAGAAACTGAGTCTCCCTCCCCATCAGATCTATTAAAATTGAGTGCTGTAGGTGTGTGTGTGTGTGTGTGTGTGTGTGTGTGTGTGTATGCACAGGTGTAAGGCTAGAGGAACACATTGGGTATCCTGTTCTAGCTCTTCCTACATGAGTCTCTTAAGACAGGGTCTCTCACTGAATCTGGAGCTAGGCTGGTAATCAGCCAGCACCAGCAAAACCCTCTGTCTCAGCTTCCCACAGCACTGGGGTTGCAGGTATGCAAGTCATCATGCTTGGCTCTTTACATGGGTTCTGGGGATTTGGACACAGGTCCTCACACTTGCACAGCAAATGCTCTTACCTGCTGAACCATCTCCCTACTCTTTGGATGCTGTAGTTTATGTTAGGCTGGGCATTGCAAAAAATACAAAATAATTTTGAGATATAGTCCATGTCTTCAGTGGAAATAATGACATATATAAATTAATTACTATCTGTGAGTAATTTCAGTCCTGCAGTGAACTTTCATTTCTTTTTACTTGATCTCTCTTTGTCCACTCAGCACCCTCTACCCCGTATTTTTGAGCATCTAGATGTTCACATATCTGTTTTTGCCCTGTGAGAAGCCAGTATTAGCTATTGGAATGTGAATCTCTTTGGCTTAACATTGCAACAATTGATTTAGTTCATGGTTCTGTGCAATTTGGGATAAGCTCATCTAGGCAACTCTTCTGGTCTTGGTTGGGTTCATTCATGAGCCTGCAGGCAGGTGCTGGTTGGCTAGGCAGTTGCATTTCTGGAAGCTAAACGCGTGTGACTAGAACGTGGTTAGATGAGGTTGACTAGACAATATGGTCTCTTACCTGGCAGATTGGCTGGAGCTTGTTCCCTTGGTAACCTGACTGAGCTCCTAGAGAACTAATGGAAATTGACAATGTCTCCTGAAGGCTAGGGTATATCATTGCAGCCATAGTCAATCAGCAGAATCATGCACAGCGCTAGCCTAAAAGGAAGGGTGAGAATGAGTCCATCTTTTGATGGGAACAGCTGCATTTCTCAGTGAATGGATACAGGAGAAGGTATGGTGCTACTTACACATTTTTATATTCTTAGAGATTAGGGGCGAGCTGGCACTTACTGATGCTATCAGAGCAAAAAGCCAGTTCGGGAAAGCAGAGAAGGATTCTTCAAGGAAGAACATTTAAGTTGAGGTTTGAAGAATAAATAGGGGTTAGCTAAATGGAGAGCATCTGGGTCAGAGAAAGCGGTACATAGAAACTCCTGGAGCTGGAAGGAGTCTGGGATTTTCCAGGAAGGTGGGTAATGAGTAAGGTGGGCAAGGGCCTGGGCTGGGGGCTGGGTGGAGGAGAGATGACACTACAGGCTTAGGAGGGTGGCATAATTGAGAGCCCTGTAAGCCTTGATAAGGAACTTGGACGTCATCCTAAGAGCACTGAGAAGTCATTACAGAGTTTTTAAGCAGAGGCGAGAAGTGATGAGGCCTGTGTTTCTAAGAGATCACTTTGACTGGGGTATACAGAATGGATTAGAGAAAATGAGAGGAAATGGGAGGATAATGAGGCCTATTTTAAATTGGCAGATACCTCTAGCAAGATGAGAGGGTTGCCTGCTTTAAGTGTGACATGGGACAGAGTTCCCATCCCCTGACCGGGAGCTTTCTCCTGAGAGCTGTGAAGAGGAGATGGAACAAGGCCCCTCTGGGGAGCCCACACATTTTTCCAGTAGTGTGGGACTCCTGACAGTACCTCAGGCATGAGGAACCATGGACGGTTTATAGATTAAGAGTCTGTACTTTTCTATTAGCAGAACTAATCATTTGCCTTTAAGTAAGATATCCCATTTTCATTAAAGCAGTAGCCAATAATAACCAAAAAGAAATGTCTAGAACATTCAAATCTAACTGTTTCATTTCCTCTCAATGTTGAAGTCAACAAAACTCTTACCCCTGTAGATACCTAACAACAGCTATTGTTTATTTAACATCTACGTTGTGCCTGGCCACTTAAACAGTTTATGCCCTGTGATACTTCTAATGACCTACCTACAGGGACTAGAGAAGCATGTCATTTATTCACAGTGTCATGAGGTACATCTAATTCCAGCACCAATGTAGCTGTGAGCCATTGCCTATATCTTGTAGAGTGCCAGGCATTTGGGGTGGGGACAGTCTGGCTTTGTTTTCTATATTTTATCTTCCACCATCCCTCTGTTAGTAGGTGACATTAGCATCTGCTCTTTACTGATACAGAAAGCAAAGGTCAAAAAAGAAACATAGGTTGTCCAAGACCACACCACCAGGACACAACACAAGACTCCTGACCCTCATTCCATGTTCTCTTTAAAATACCATGTTGTCCTTGTTTTTAAATATTTTTGTCATTTTCATCTATATGTCTGTGTGCATGTCTCTGTGAGTAAGCACATGTGTATGTATATTTCTCTGTGGTGGCCAGAAGAGGGCACTGGACCTCCTGAAGCCAATGTCACAGGTGGTTGGAAGCCACCAAACATGGGTACTGGGAATTGAACTTGGATCTTTTGGAAGAGCAACAAACTCCTAGCTGCTGAGCCATCTCTACAGGCTGATACCATATTGTCTAGAAAATGGATTTTTGTTTAAATAAATATACCCGTATTCTTCCTGCTCCTATGTGAACACAGCTCCCCATGTCTCTGTTATTCTTTTCTATGTCAATGAGGAGCTCCTAAAAGAGTGGGATGAGCCTGAAACCATTGTCCCCAACCCACCCGAGCACTGACAGTTGTCAAAGTCCAGAGCATCACACTTAGTCTGTTCTGGTCCCCAGCCATGACCAGCTTCAACCTCCAAGATGCCTAAACACACCATGGAGTGGGTCTCCAGGCAGCCTGCCTCTCTGTAGCATTTACTCAGGAAGGAGTCAGCTCCAATCTCAGAACAATGGCTGTCCAGTTCATACTCTCCATCTGCCCCAGCTGCCCCTCGGCAGCTGAGTGGGATGACACTGCTACACCACATCTTTAGTCCCCAGCGTGGGAGGAGGCTGGCTTCCAGCTCCTCAGCCAACAGCATTGGTGAGAAAAATGAGCTGCTCTGGGGGAGGTGAGAGCCTTCTGATCAAGAAAGAGATAGGAATGTTACAGTGACAGATAGACTCAAAGGTCCCTCCTCCCTACCCCACCCAGTCACGTCCATTCTTCTGCCCAGGTCTGCCTGCTTTTGACACAGATTTGAGGTGGCAAATGGGTCAGAGGGAGGAGAGCAACCATCTAGTGCGTGAGGAAAGGGGAAAGCCATAGTGTCAGTGTCGTCTTTGGACTTGTATCAGGGCTCATTTCCTGAATCACATTGAAACCCCCTTGAGCCCATATTACCCTACATCATAGGTTTGCTTGTGTAGAAGGATAGAAATAATAAATACACATTTCATGAGATTCTTGTAAACACTAAAGGAGTTGGCAGGTAGGTCAAGGGCCCAACAAAATATCTGCTAGAAAACGACAGGTGTCCTACCCACACGGATCCAGTTGTGAGTTTTGAATGGAGTATTGTAGTGATGGGTTACACTGAAAGACACCAGGCAGAGCTTGTTCTGAGAACTACGATGGGTAGTGTGGCTGAGCTTTAAATGCTAAATCCACAAACAGACCAGTTCCTAAAAATGAAAAGAGCACGAGAGAGGCCCTCGTTCACTCTCTCTACTCCTGTGTCCCCAGATCCAGACAAGGGAACCAGGGAGAACAAGGGGAGGAGGGCATGAAGAAGCATCCAGAAGACAGAAGATGACTGTGGGAAGAGAGGCAGGCAACTATTGTGTCTGCTGCCCCCAAATCAGATCTGTGCACATATATGGCTCCTCCCCTGATTCTGGAGTGAAGATGGCTTGGGGAAGCACAGCAGGGAGTGGGAAGTGGAGGAGAATCAGGAGAGAAATAGAGGAGACAAAGAGAAGATGGAAGGACGTCTCGGCTTGAAGACATCCCCCAGATGTTCATGTTAGTGACCCCATTCCCCATGTGACAGTGCTGAGAGTGTTAGATAATGGGTACCATCTTCATGAGCAGATCGAGGCCATCATGGGAGTGGGTTCATCACACAGGGAGAGAGGTCAGTTCTCCGCTGTTTTACATATCCACTTGCCTTTTCACCTCCCACCTTAGGACAATTGCAGCAGGAGGCCCCCTCCAAATACTGACATCATGGTCCTGGTTTTACCAGGCTCTATAGCTGTGAGCCAAATAGAATCCTATTGTTTATATGTTACCAGTCTTAGGTATTCTGTCATAACCACTTGAAATGGACTGGACTAAGACAAAACACAAGAAGAAAGGGATGTTTAACTGAATAAAAGGAGCAAATAGAATCGTGCCCTTCCCCGTCTCAAAGGGCAGGTCCTCTGGATGGCAGAAAATACTTTAACTACTGAGGCTTCTCTTCATGACCTGCAAAAGACAAACCAACATCTGGTCATGCACAAACCCTGTCAAACAGTATGCTCACTGCTTGTATGTTGTACCTACACAATATAGGTACAAACAAAATACCTCATGTTACACCTCTAGGTCTTTGTCATTAGGGTTCTTGAGGGGGGAAGGCTTTCTGGCTTTGTCTCATAAACTTCCACGCATCCCCTACTATATCCTTACTTGGGAGGTCTTTGTTGAGTCGACAAAGCTGGATTCATTTTTGAGGCTCTCTCCAGCTGTATCGGGACCCTGTGCGTACCTGGGCCACAATGTCTCACTATTCATTGCTGTGGGATCCTTTCTCTGGTCTGTGGTGAACAGATCTCAGTCTCATTCTTTTGTATGTCTGCCATTTGAACTGTGGATCTGCTACCATTGTTCACAGAATGATGGTGAGGGAGGAGGAGGCGAGTCCTCAGGAAGGTGAAGACAAGACAGAAAAGGGAGCAAAGAAGACAGGAGGGAGGGGAGAGAAGGGGAGGGAAAGAACAAAAGAAGGGAGGGGAAAAGATGGAAGGATAAGCCAAGAAGAATAAAGGGAAGTGAGGGTGGAGAACACTGGAGCAGACAGAGGAGATGACCTCCAGGGAATCTCAGTACTTAGGACCTTGCCCCAGGAGCTCGCTTCCTCCCACTTCTGATCTTCACAAGACCCCAGGGTTAGGGTTAGCCCACACTGGGTCTACACACACCAGAGCATCTGTGAGTCAGGGTGACTGTAAAACCTTGAGGCAGAGGATGTGAGGTTTCTTAACAGGTCCCACACTGAAGATCCCACTGTTAGCTCGTTCATATAGACAGTTGTCACAACACAAGGGGACAGCCTGCTGCTCCTTCTTTCCTGTTCTTACCTCCCCCAGTGAGATATGTCTAAGTGTGCTATGAAAAACTGATGAATGTCTTTTGTAAGACAGACTCAAGCTGGATTCAACTGGTCCCAACTGGATTTCTATCTTCCTTAGACTTAACCCTATCAACTCTCCCAAAGTACCTCCCTCTCACAGGCTATGTAGAGGTCCTGGTCTGGCCGTCCAAGCACATGTGTCCTCAGGTAGAGGCACATTATGCCGAGGAGCTGTTCAGCCTGTGCTCTGCGGGCAGGAACCCCCCTGGATGCTCCCTGTTATGGAAAAGAGGCTGATATGTCTTTCCCATGCCATTCTCACTTCACACAGCACAGCAAAGACTGTATGGGTCCACAGTACCTGAGCTGAAAGTCAGTATTGTCAGAGTAGGGTGGTTTCTGGGGGCTGGGTAAAAGGAAGTAGCTTTTCAGTCATCTCCAAGGCCCACTTAATTTGTGTGACTTGGCTCTGGCATTGGATCCTCTCTCCAATGCCTCTTTCTGTCTCACTTTCACACATAACACCATCAGACCCCATACCCCTCTTTCTTCCTTTTAGTCTTTCATGATGGAGGGCAAATCTGTATTCCTGAGGTAGGAGGACAAAGATGGTTCTCTTAGTGGTTACACTTAAAGATATTCCAGGAATCACTAGCCCTTAGCTAGAAGTGCTCTTGGGGTAGAGCTGGGTGAATAACAAGTATGCAGGGGAAATTCTACAGAGTTCTCCATCTTTCTGGGAGACAAATAGAGAGAATAATTTTTTCCCCAGGATATAATGCAGGACCTGCTGGGAAGAGGTATCACAACCAAGAACCAGGCCAAGCTCTAGGAATCCAGGCGAAGAGAGGGAGAAGAGAACATATGAGCAAGAGAGGTCAAGATCATGGTGGAGAAATTTACAGAGACAGCTGAAC